ATTTTTCTCGCTCCCCCGGCAGGCTGTCATTCCTTCTAGCACCCGTGATGATCTCTTATAGCCCGAGTACAGGTACTCTACGCCAGCAGGCCTTCCCATCAGCTCCGAGACTACCTCATCTTATCCTTCTTTTACATTATAATAGATATAATAAAGTAGGTCCTTCAAGCTCTTATACCGCTATACCAAACTACCAGTACTTCAACACCTCACACAAATTGTCAACAGCACTCACTCAAACTTTGACGGCGTGACCAAGATTGATCCTATTCCATACCAAGCAGCTTTAGTTCCTCCTTTCCCTTGGTCCCTTTCGTCAAAGTGTGCAGTCTCGCGTCGTGTCTACACTGGATCCGAGTCAAGAAAACTACAATGCCTAGCTGGATAAAAGAGTGCCCCAGTGGCGACAGCATGGGATTCAGGAATCCGGCATCAAGAGAACAGTACCGGGTTTTGGTTACCGGCTGTTTCAGATGCTGTCCGCGCTTCGCAGCATGCAGGTTAAAGGTTAGTCCTCCGGGAGTTGGCGGAAAGCATGGGATACAAGTGGATGAGGTTTTCCCGAACGCCCTTGTTAGAGGTCGAACGTGTTGACACAGCAGCATCTCAAATGATTCATCCACAGGCTCTTAAGCTGTATTTAGAATAGTCGGGAATCAAGTCGTGGAAAGTGCGACCCGTAACCGCCAAGCCAAACGAGTGGTAGTTTGTGATTGGTCATTTTTCCCCACAGTACCTCGCCATCCCACATTACCGTCACGTCTAGATTTCGTGCAAGTGAAAATACATACGCGTTCGTTCGTTGCTTTGTACGCTTACTCACATCTACGTACGTAGGACGTGGTCAATATGCTGTAGCTAATAGCTCCAGACACTCTAATCCCCCCCCCCCTTTCCAATCCCCTCCCCTTTCCAATCCCCTCCGGAATCTCATACGACTGCCACGCGCTTCTGATGAACACTACTATCGAAAGCGTAGTTATATGCCAAGATTAATGCTCTTTCTACTCTTTCCTTTAATCTCCTTGCGCTGTAACTCCCTCGAACACCAAATGTGCTGGTCTCCGAGACTTTTCGGCGTTTGTTTGATAAGATACGCTTGAAATTCTAGTAATAGAGCCAGCTCTTAGGCAGAGAAACTAAGGTCTGGAGTAAACTCTATCTCAATGAGCTAATAGGTATCATGGTTACTCGCCTTGCAATCAGGTGGTCCGAACTCTCAGGGTTTTTGCGTACCTCAAGTGGTCTTTATCCCACGAAACCGAGAGAAGGAGGTCCTATACGAACGCCCAAAGTCACTTATAGCTACTCTCATGGGTCTAATTTACATGCCGCGTAGTTCCGACATGGTGGGGAACCATCCCGGTAGAAAACATTATTGCGGCATCATAATCGATTTTCCACCATAAATCCACCATAGTACCACCATTGGGCGTGGAATTTGTGAGGGGGTTATGTACTTTGTTATGCTGCGCGGGGAGGTTAGATACCTTTTTTTTCTTTGTTTTTCTTTTGGTAGAAGCGAAGGGTAAGGTGGGACGGGGAGAGGAGAGGAGGGCGAGAGGGCCTTAGCCACCGCTCCAGAAAGCTAAATTGTTAGACGACACTAAAACATTAGGCCACAGCGCACAGACCGACTGGTGTGGTGTGGTGTAATTTCCATCATTGTTCAAGCCTAATTTTCTTTCCTACACCACTCATACCCTTATGCCCTCAGATATAGCAGACTTCTCTTTCAACCTTCCCAGCCTACTATGCCGGCTAAGGCCATCTCCATCTTGTGGCTTTCTACCACATCCATACCCTTCCCCGGAATGTTAAATGGTCATCGACGTGATGATGTCTAGCTTCTTTCTATCTACCCCGCCTGGCGTCCCTTTATACACGTCACTGGGAGAGAGTCGCGACCACACCGCCAGTCCTTATACGCTCTCGCCAGGTTACCGCCAGAAGACGCCTGAAAAAGTGCGCATATTGGTGTGGCAAGAACTGGGATATCCAACTGGTAGCTGGTGGGGAAAATGCCCTGGACGCAAGTGGGTGTCCGGCTCTACCCACTTGAGTACTCGGACTCCCCCCGAATCTCTTCATCTCAAGGGAACGTGCTATCTCTGGATATATAAGCAGCAGCTACGTATACAATAACCGCACCCGTGGGAAAACGGGGCATGTGAGTAGGCTCATACCTGTGCTCAACTTAACTGCGGGTTACATCCGGACCTCTATCTGGATCACCGTTATGGGGATAACGACTCAACCGCTGACACCTGCCAACGAGAAAGAGTGGGGGTGCGATCTCGAAACCGTTGATAAATACAGTGTCAATAGACATACCTACGCAGCCACACATCTGCTCAAACGATGAAATTCGGAGCATCACCCACTTCTTTGCGACAAGTCGGAATGGAGCTTCGATATATGATACAGATACTTATTCCAACACCTGAGCGATATCTTACAACGTTGATTTCCACTCTTCGGAATCTTTCAAATTGTTTTGAGGAACCACATGCAAGCACCTATATCTCGAATTGAAAAGAGTTTACGGTCCCAGAAAGTTGAGGCGACTGATAGAATATGACGCTCTCACACGCGTTCCCTTTATCTCTCGTTTTCCAATCCTTCCTCGCGAGCTGGATACACCAACAATCCTTCGCTGCCAGAAGGTCTATTTTAAGGTTGTTTGTGACTAATGGTTTCCAAGCAACTACAACATGGTTACAGCGCACCCAGGCGTACTCTCCATACCACCCCTTCACGAGCTTCAAGGACCAAAAGAAAGAATTACCTCGCCCGCCTCGCGACACCAAGCGGCTTGACTGCCAATAGACTCATGGGTTTCTGCTTCTTGTCTATAAAGGTTATTTGGAGAAAAATATAAAACTGAAGCAAAAGTTTTTCTAAACTCCCACCAGGCGGAGGATTTGAACCTCCTGCCCAATGTAACGGGTTGGGTAGTAAGTGCTGAGAGCCTAACCATTAGGCCACGCACACCCGCTGAAAGGACACTTCTGAACTCGGTTTTGAGTGGGTCAGCTTTGGTTTGTTCTGACTAATCTGTGGTTGGTAATGACACGACGTATCCTCATGTCACGTTCTCGTTCTAAGAATAACCTTCTCGTCAAAGTCGAACAGCTTCACGAATTGATTCAACAAGGAGAACCGGCGTATCTCACTGATAATAAGCTATTTACCAGGCCACACAGATATAGTGAAGTCGAATTCCACCCCCCGAAAAAAATATAAAAATCAAAATCAAAAAGTTAATTTAACTCCCACCGGGCGGAGGATTTGAACCTTCCTGCCCAATGTAACGGGTTGGGTAGTCGTGCTGAGACCTAACCATTAGGCCACGCACCCCGCTGAAAGAACATTTCTGGACTCACTTTTGAGGGGGCCATTTTTGGCAGTTTCTGACTAATCAGTAGTTGGTAATAACATGTAATCTTGAAAAGTGCTTTCGTAAGTCACTCTCTCATTCTAAGAATAGCCCCCTCCCGAAGCCGAACAGCCTCACGAATTGATTTAACAAGTAACACCGCCGTATATCACTGATAATAAGCTATTTACATACTTATATCAGGCCACACAGATAATGTAATGAAGTTGAATTCTGCTTTCAAAAAAATATAAAAAGGAGAAAAAGTTAATTTAACTCCCACCAGGCGGAGGATTTGAACCTCCTGCCCGATGTAACGGGTTGGGTAATATGTGCAGAGAACCTAACCATTAGGCCACGCACCCCGCTGAAAGAACATTTCTGGACTCGCTTTTGAGGGTAGGCAAGTATGCACCATAGTTGGTAGGCACCACCGGAGTAATTGCGGATTGGTTACAGAATGGAGATTTTCAATATTACAGGCGATAGATGCGGTGTTAGTTCGAAATTGTTGACGCGAGACGGGATGGTGTATGGTGGAAAAGAGGAAGCAGAATAGACCACGTAGCTCGTGTTGAAGATTCGGGGTGCGACAACAAACACAGTCTGAGAGCGAGACCTACGACGTTATTAACAACCCCGCCATCGATCACACTCCCACAAGTACAAGACAAATAAAATATCAACAGTATATAGACGATACGAAAAACACCTTCCTGCCGGAAAATTTACTGAAACGGACTGCTCTCCTTGGGACATTCATACAACCCAGCTCCAGAAACAAAACTCCACAAACAAAAAAGGAGGCAACAACCATAAGAGCGAATACCGGAGGTTTCAACCATATAAATTCCAAGATATATACTCTAATAATCAATATCGGATCTACATCTACCGCTACAACCCGCGTAGCCTGGCAGCAAAATCCCGGATACCAGAAATACCCCACTTTGTCTTAATCTACATGCTCTTAAAAAGACTGTAGAGAGGATGAGCGGCAGCCGAAACAGCCCTAAATCATCTACCAACGCGCCCACCTGATCCCCTCGCCAATCCAGACGTCACTTCCCCGGTAGTTCTGTTGGGTGAGAGTTGTGGATGATATGGATACCACCACCAATACCGTCGGTATCGATACAGACTGTCCTCATTACATTCTGGAGGCTCATTACTAGCGTTTCTTGGCTGTGTTTGGTAGCATCCTCCTGCAAAGCGGCGTTGACTTCTGTTTCGTGCTTCTAAAGGCTTAAACAACTAGAGGAGTGGATACGCGATGCGAGTGTATAATCTCTCAAAAACGAGGGCTGGGCTGGATAAGCGCTGCCGGCCCGGACCCGGCAGTGTGGAAAGAGAGCTAGAGGTATCATGACCTAAAATAATGCCTTCTGAAGAATCCGGGGGTTTATGATAACCGCAGAATCTACGTATCTCAGATCAACACCGCCCAAGGCGGTAGATGCGGATGTTCTCCGGGCAGAGGAACGATTTAGGTAAATACAGAGAACCCCCTCCACCAGATCTCTCACCCGGCGCATGCCACCACAAATATCTACGCGGAAGTGTCTATACCCACACCCTCCCCTCGAGTCATCTCCACTCTGTGTAGAGAAAACCCCACACATCAATCGCCAGCATCGTCAGAACATAAGACGACACTCACCCTACTCCGGTCTAAGTCTTGATGCAAAAACGACAGATAGAAGACAGAGCTCATCACCCGCATTCTAGACCGCCGACCCACCGTCCAATTGTCTCCCCCACGATGGTTTTATCGTCCGCCAAATGAAGGATAGCATCTAGAACTAAATTGGGACCTTAGCGCAACTTGCGCCGTACTCAGAGATGGTTGAGAGGTCGAAAGGGAGGAAGCAGAAGATTACCAGTGATGAATAGCAGGAGACTGGGCGGAAGCAAAAGCGCAACAGGTTGATATCGAGATATAGAGCTGGTTTTGGTTGTGGTTGGGCGCCGGGCCTGAGCGTCACCTCCTCGCTGGTGTTTCGTTAGGAGGATAGATTTTCCGCTGTTTTCGCAGGTTTCATGTTGTATGACAGGTAGAAGAATACTATATCTCTGTAGCTCGAGAGTAGTGAAAATATCGTAAAATCTTTGGAGTCGTTGATTTTTCGTGTTACTTTACATTGCTAGATCGTGAGGTAAGTGAGGTGTTACACGCATGTGTAATCATGAAACATCACTCGTCTTGGCACGTCCCAATTCAGCGGCCATGGCCATGGCCACGAGGATAGGAAAAATCGCATAACAGCCACTTACAGGACTTCTTAGCTTCAAGCCATCATGTAATGCTGCTGGTTTATAGTTCCTTGTGAACCGGTAACGGTGATATGAGAGAGGGCCTATACTAGGTGACTGGCTGATCATAAGCTATCACTCGGTTGGTTTGGCTTGGCGTACATACTGACAGGGGCGCTTGTAAACTGACCTGAAAAGGTTGTGATGAAAAATAAAGGAGGGAGTGTCTGGGATAGCTCATTATCCGAATTGATATCTTGTTCCTGTTGTTGATATCTTTCTTGGTGACTCGAGACGCGACCTCGGCTGTAATTGGAGAGGCGATTCTGGGGTGCGCGTTCGGAAACAAGTAGACCACGAAGTTAGAATATACTTTCATCAGTACGGTTCGGATAGTGTGTGTTAGGAATGGGAAGATGGGGGTACGTGTCGACGGTTCTGTAAATTCTTGATGCAGTTTTGAGGGATGTTTTTGAGTGTTTCTTTGAAATTTAATCTGTACACGTGTTGGAAGATCATGCATTTGGAAGGTAAACGGGTTTCTTTTGCTGTCTTTACTTTGAGCGCCGCTTATGGAACGTGTTTTATCAAACTTGAGGACACATGTGGCTTTTGCACACACTCGAGTAGAGCGCCGTACAAGTACATAGGCAATGAGCATTCCTATCAATTCATTTAGGTAGACCTCTAGAAACATGACTACATGGTCCACCGCAATTTCATCTAAATAGAACATAGAAAAATCGATCACTTTGTAGTAAAACTTCTGCTACCGACTGTTGAGAGGCCTTCATTCCCATTTGGGCATCGTTTCCCACACCAAACACGTTGCCACCTAATCCCCCCAACGTGCACAGTCACAGATTAGTCAGAAACAGCTCCTAAGCCTACTCTCAAATGCGAGTCCAGAAATATCCTTTCAGCGGGTGTGCGTGGCCTAATGGTTCTCAGCACTTACTACCCAACCCGTTACATCGGGCAGGAGGTTCAAATCCTCCGCCTGGTGGGAGTTTAAAAAAACTTTTTGATCTTTTTTTTGTAAAAATTATCTTGAGCTCTTTTAGGGAGGAATTAGTTCCGTATATCTTCTCTAGACACTCGAATAGCTTGTTTGTGCGAATAACTAAAGTTATCTAAGATATGTTACGTGACGTTGCTTAAACGATCAGTATAGAATATTCGCATTTCTGTGCAGTAACGAACCACCATTAGTCAACATGCCCCAAAATAGACCTTCGGTGGCCTGTCTTCCTCTCTTTTTCAGCCTATAACACAACACAGCGAATATACTGCTGTCTCGTAAATGATAATTCCAGACGTTACTATTGCCACTTCACGTATTGATATTTTCATCTTGCAGGCTTGACTTTGGCCTCTATAGCGTCGCCCTGATTTTCTACCCGAACCTAATGAAGGGTGCAAAGGCTTTGAAAATCGTGAAAAATCGTTTGTATGTACATTCTTCTAGGCACTCAATCAATCCCACCGTATAAGCGGTTCGCTTTACCCTCAGCTCTAACATTGGATATGACGACAGCGTGGTCATTACTACCCCCCAATCTGCAATCTGCCAGCCTGCGTGTTCATCCAGGATGTTTCGAGAACTGCAAGAGTTACTTATGTCGGGAGGGTCCCTATGGATGAAATCTCTAGGGACCAGGTGGACTTTGAGATAGTGAAATGGTAGTTCAAGAGCTCTCAATCTCTCTCTCTTTCTTTCTGTTTCTCTTTGCTTTACTTGGCCCCGGGCTGGGAATTTCTTTTTCTTTTTTCATGACCTCTTCTTGGTTTATCGCCTAAAGACGAGTTTTACTTCCATTTCCTCAACATCTTTGTTTCGTGGTATCTCCAATTTTAGAGACATATTTCCTCTTCCTCAACGCTGAATGGTATCTCTGGGTCTGGAGACGTATTTCCTTTCCTTCTCCTTTGTCTATTTTTCCTCGTCGTTGAGTGGGTGCCAGCCCACAGTGTCTTGAGGGTGGAGAGGTGGCGGGTTTTACTCATGGTCTTCTGCCAACGTGGCCTTTTCTGTCGTCTAGCTCCATCACCTCTGTACTTTCTATTCTTAGACTTTTTTTTTCCATTTCCTTTTTGTTTCTCTTTCTTTCCTTTCTTCTACAATAGCTAAAACAAAGAATTAATTTGGGGCGAGCCGAAGGCTCGATATCCCCTACAAACAAACAAAAATACTACCCAACCCGTTACATCGGGCAGGAAGGTTCAATCCTGCGCTTGGTGGGAGTTCAAAAAGCTTTTGCTTCTTTTTTGAATTTCTTTTTTCCTAAAGCTCTATTAGTATGATAGAGAGCACTCCTTCGTATATATAAGCTCCCTGATACCGTGGGTTGTTGAAAACGATCAAAAGATTGATTTTATTGGGTCCTTGGGGTTCATAAACGACCGGTATGCAAACTTCGCACAGGAGTGTTGTAGTAACCGCCTACTCCTCGTCATCAATTAGCCACAACCTCTCGAATAGACCTTTCTATGATCGAGATTTACTACACCTACTTACTGATATTTTTACTTCGTCCGAGTCTTTTACTCCAATTCCGGCAACTGGGTGTGGTGTATCGTGAAATAGGGAACATAAAACGTAATACCCTCGTTGCGAGGTGGGATTTTACACTGTCCAAATTTGGAGTAAAAGGACCCGGACAAATTGAACATTTCAACAAGCAGTATCCTCTCGTACGAAGCTTCCTGTGCGTTGACATTTAATCTCACTATTCACGTCGGTTGACCCTTCAACCCTCACATTGCATTATGACGATATCACGATCGTTACTATGATTAGTCAGAAACTGCCAAAAATGGCCCTCCCAAAAGCGAGTCCAGAAATGTTCTTTCAGCGGGGTGCGTGGCCTAATGGTTAGGTCTCAGCACGACTACCCAACCCGTTACATTGGGCAGGAAGGTTCAAATCCTCCGCCTGGTGGGAGTTTAAAAAAACTTTTTGATTTTTTTTTCCAAAGCTCTGCTAGTATGATAGACAGCATCCAGCATTTTTTGTATCCATAGGAGCCCGGATCTCTCTTGTTGGCGCAACCGATAAAAAAAAGGATTGATTTTGTTCGGTTCTTGAAGCTTGGTTCATAAACGACCGGTATACAAAGTTCGCATAGTCGTGCCTGCTCCTCGTCATCCATTATTAGTAACAACTCTCGAAAAGTAGGCCTTTCTAGAATCGAGTAATCACAATGTCAGTGTGGTCCACGAGGACGCTCAAGGCGAGATTTGAGGGTGCACTCGAGATGCCTCGTCCGCGTTGACATCTGTCCTTGTCTACTTAATCCTCGGTGTCCGACACTGTTATGCTCGAGGTGCCTCGAGGATGTTGCGAGAGAGCAAAAAGCTGTACTTTTTATTACTTATCCATTCCTGACCTCATCTGAATCTAGCACATTAAATGCACATTATAGCCAAAAATCGTGCTTGGGGGTTCTCAAGGCAAGGGCAGGCAGCGTCCTTGGTGCTCCTTGTCCTTTTAGACCACTATGCTTGTTTATTACCGAGGGCATGTCTTCGAGGCAAGAACACAAGGACGCTCGTCCTCACGACCACACTATCGGACATTGCCACATCTGGTATTTTCTCGTGCATAGCTTACCTTCTATACAAGTAGACACTTGATTCCACCGTCTCCGCGGGTTGGTTGACCCTTCAATCCTCACATCATTACTGACCACTGATTAGTCAGAAACTCCCCAAAATAGCTCACTGAAAAGCGAGTCCAGAAATATACTTTCAGCGGGGTGCGTGGCCTAATGGTTAGGCCTCAGCACATACTACCCAACCCGTTACACTGGGCAGGAAGGTTCAAATCCTCCGCCCGGTGGGAGTTAAATTAACTTTTTGATTTTTCTTTTTTATATTTTTTCTCTAGAGCTCTACTAGCATGATAGACAGCATCCCCCGTATCTATAGGCTCCTGGATCTCTCTTGTTGTTGTAAACGATAAAAGGACTGATTTTATTCAGTTCGTGAAGCTGGTGACGGCCGGTATGTGAAATTCGCATCTGTGCTGTAAACACCTGCTGCTCGTTACTTATCCATTAGTCACAACTTTTTAATATAGACCTTAACATAACCGAGCACTGCAACATGTATTAATTTCTCATGTTTTCCTATTTGTAGTCCACTTCCCTCCATGATGTTCCCCCTCGAAATTGCCCTTTTATACCGGGAACATTCTACGCCACAATATCTCGGATACAGATCCCTTGTGGTAATTCATAGAAATATGGTTCCTTTCTTTTGTGATTTGTAGTCTCACGGGGTGCCTGTTCTTATGAATATTCTAGTGAAATATGAACAAGGGTGTTCAAGTGAAATCTGGCGTTATCAAAGGGTCGGAACCATTGACAATTGACGTGAAGTAAACAACAACACCTGGTTCCGCGAACGGGATTTGCAATCATCCATCGGCCCCACGCGCCTGCTTTCAATATTGGTGCGTTCTCATCCGTCATCCGTCATAGAGCGGGAGTCTAGTCGATTCCTTTCTCAACTCATCTGTGCGAGATTTCCCGGTGATAGTATCTTCTGGAACACTAAGGGTAGCTGGAGACCGAAGACCATGGCTGAAGCGTGATCTAGTTCGAGAGAAGATAAACTCCAAAGAGGTTCCCGAAGAAGGGACACAACAGAATGGACCGTAGGTATATCCATGAACGAAGCCGTATTTTTACACTGCTCTCAATCATCATCCCTAAGCTTCGATACGGTGTCTAGAGAGAAAGGAAAAAAACTCATTATTCCAATCTAGAGGAAGTTTATAATTAACAAGATGCATTAGACTCGAGATAGCCAGCGGCAAAACATCGATCGGTCGCTCAATCATCTCGCCCGCCCATTAGATCATGAGTTTTATATGATGCGAGTACCTATTCGATGCACATTAATCGTACCAGCGTATAGAGACCCTTCACCCGGCATCTCTTGCACTCTCTTATCACAACTCCCACAACCTGTCTTCATGGCCCTGCCACTCCTTTACGTGGAAGGTAGTTCAGTCTAGTACCAAGTATGCGCATGGGCAGATTCAGTGAGGTCCAGTCTCTCCGGATCATCATGAATCCTAGGTCCTGACTCTTTAAGATATAGTCGAATCCAAAGACAGTCAAACGTATAACAGGCTAAGATAAGCTCCGCCAATTAGCAGCAATCGACGATCAGCTGGGTTGTGTGATTCCCTTCTGGAGAGCCGGTTATCTGTGCCCTGTAGCTGGCTATGGGTATTGAAACACCCGACATGATTGATGTCCGGTGGCAGGCAGAAGATCCTCTCCATACGGTGTGGCTATATCTATAATGGAATGGTTACCAGTTGACGGTGGCGTTGATTCGTGTGGTGGGGGCAGCATTTCGAAGATTTTTGAAGATGCGTCGTTGAGGTTGACGTTGATCGCCTAGCTAATTACATGCGGCACAGGAAGGGTTACACAGCGCAGCTACCGAACACTATCCGCAAATCAATAGCCAGGGATAAGTCAGCGGCAGACCTACTCATCCTCCCGAATCAGCTAATCATCTGATCAAGTAATACCAACAGAAGCAGACCCTTCGATGCAGGTACCTCCGCTTTATTGCCTCACCCATAAACCTTTTCGAGGAAGGAGTACCTATCACAGGCAACTGCAAGCATGCGACTCCACCGGCAAACCAACCTCTATCTCTCAAATACCATGCTAATATGACTCCGATTTTACGACTAGCTAACCTCTGCTCTAGACCTCGTAGATATAAACTTCGACAGGAACCTCTAGCCTCTCCCGTGGCAAACAAGTGACACACCAGCGGAAAAGGGCTGTTCAGTAGGCCAGTATAGATGTTTTAAAGATCGTAGCTGACAAGTTGGGACTAGGCTTTTAGGCAAATCCGTTAACACGCAGTCAGGCGGGGACACGGTCAGGTGGAAGAGCTAGTCATAAGGTATCACTCGGCCTCGCAGGAGCGTCACGTGATATGCTGAGTTAGGACTTTTTTGTTTTGTTTTGTTTAATTCATACTCGCATGCAGACCGTAATCTATAGCGGCTTGAGTTGGGACTGCTGTACGTGGGGCGTAGAGTTATGTCCTTGATTTATTCCGAGAGCCGGAGTATAAGTTCCTTTAAATACCACTAGCTAAGAAAATAGAGAGAGTATAAGAAGTGCAGAGAATGGTACGGCCAATGGTAGAAAGGAAAGGAAGAAACTAGTGGACCCGCCCTCTCCATAGAAAGGAACTACAAGTACCCACAGCCAAGCATGCGTATACACGTACATGTATCAACCCAACTCCCAACCCAACCTGCTGTCCTCGTCCAACCCAACCCGCTGCCTAAATCCGTTCCACGAGATGTCCGCCCAAGAGATCAACCAAGCCACCTTCCTAGAGGGTTACAACGCTGGCTACCGAGCAGGCTTTCCAACCGGTTTCCTGCTGTCGTCAATGCAAGCCGCTATCAATACCAATGCCGCACCGGTTCCCAGCCTGCTGTTGAGCGCAGCACCGCCGACAATTGTGCCGACCGCAGCGCCGATGCCGCTGAGCGCAGCGCCGAGACAGTCGGGGTGGTCAAGGCAGAGGCAGAGGAGAAGGCGGAGGAAGGCTCGGGAGAGCGCTGCAGACATGTCCGTCCGGCCTACACCCAAGCGCCAGACCGGGGAGAGCGGTAGAGGCATGCCCGTCCCTGCACCCAAGCGTCAGATCGAGGAGAGCGATAGAGACGTGCCCGTGCCTGTACCCAAGCGTCGTTGTCTTACAGGGCCCGCTGCCACTGTCGTCCCTACTGCGCCTGTAGCCTCTGCTGGCTCTTTGGTCCCTGCCGCACCTGTCGTCCAGGCTGCACCTGTCGTCCGGGCTGCTCCTGCCGTCCGTGGCCCCTCTATACCTACCACCAACTATAGGCCCGTAGAAATAGAGGCTATCGATGGTATCGAGAGATGGGATAAGTAGCCCGTGCGTCTGCTGTTTTACAGAGTCGATTTCGCCGAAATCAACTCAGGAGTCAGAACTAGTCAAGGGGAAATTCGCAGCACCGCAAACTTGTACTAGATACTATAAAAAATGGATTTACGCGAGTTAAGCTCGATATTTCGTTCTTTGGTTTCCTGATGTAATGCTATGGGTCCTGTTGTGCTGTTTAATATGCGAATTTTGAGCTCGTTCTGGATTTAGATCCTAATATGCCCCCTTTCTCTAGTTTTGAAATTGTTTCTTTTCTTTAGTGACAGACAGATACATTCGCCGTGCACTGAAAAGTAATCCCGCAGTCCATCAGTTGTCCCAAGGATCAAGCCCCGGCTAGAAAGGGACGGCGATAAAGTAAGGGTATCCAGTGTGCCTACCTGCTGAAAGGTTGAAGTTGGGTTTATACTCAAATTGTGCCGAGTTTGCACTATCTCGGCGCCGTGTTGTTACCAAGCCACTTTAATTGTTGCAAATATTCTTTTATTGAGGCCCTTCGAATCCGGCGACATATGTTTATCTGTAGTATCTTTCTGTACCCCCGAGCCCTGTTATTTCAGGAAACTCTAATGTTAGAAAAGGGGAGGCTTCAGCGAAGCACAGTTATATACGATCGTGGAGATAAATTCAAGGAGATATAATGAAGAATAAGAAGGGGGCTGTACCTTTTATTCCCCTCCTCCGCCATCGCCGTAGTGTCTAGCAACCGTGGACTAGTGAACCTTATATTCAAACAGAACCGGAGGCTCAGACCTACCATCTCATCCCTACGCATAATTCTACATACCGCTCGATACCCTCCTACCCAGAGAAATTAACGCCGTACACCGACTCTGCACCGCATTTGACCACCACGCCCAGCTCCGGTGGTGCACCACCCCCCCCCTCCCCAAGTCATTGCTTCATTCTGGTTTGACTCGCTTCTGGGCCCGTCATGGCGACAGCGCGATGAGGAGTGCTGCGGTTTACTTCTATATTGACTTAGTGGGTCCTAGACACAAAAGAGGTTTTGTTGAGGTTCCTAGTATTTGTGTACACAGGTTCTTTTTTTTTTTTGACATGTGTAGATTCCTCTTCCGCTATAGATGTGACGAGCGGTGGGAAATGTTGGCAGATGGTGAACTGAAGGTTAAGGTCGCATGTGCGGGTGTGGCAAGAGAGGACATGCAACACTTGACCGCTGAAATTCCGAAATGAAATACGACGGATGTATTGATGCAGAGTGCACGAGAACAAATTTCACAAAAAAATCGTAGGTGGTAGGAACGGGAGGAGGCAAAGTAGGGCAAAAGGGAGAAATCATGATTAATCATGAAATATCACTCGGCTTAGAGTTTGGGACGATTGACAACCCGCTATTTAACTTGTTCGATGTATGTACACGCAGCCCGCCCTCACCTCCAAATACCAAAAACGGGAAAAGATCATAGGAAAACCTGTCACTCCATCGTATCTATTCCCTGCCCGAGGTCTTATAGCACTGTCTCCGGTTGAGTTGGTGGAATGCATCCTCTACACTTGTTCTGGCGTTTTATACGCGGTTTTGTATTGGGTTATGGCGTAAAGATGGAAAGGGAGTTATTGAGCTTCGGTTGGATTAGTGATTGTGTTTTCTATGGGTTTCCGTTGCATGGATTTAGGGGCCATCCAGTACGGAAATCAGTACGGTTATATAAAGGGTTATTTGTCCTTCTTTCTATTTTTTTTTTGTTTCTTGTTTACTCATTTCTCTTGTTATTACCCCTCGTCTTAGCTTGTATTCTCTGTTACTTCTTGTCCGTTACACTGAATATATTCTCTTTGCGTAAATTCCAGTTCTGTCGGTATCAAGCCCGATCCTCATGTCTCAGTCCCCGTTCTTGTTCTGAACCTGAACTCGTTTAACCTGGTATATAATACTAAGAGGAATCCTGCTCCAGTCCTCATCCTAGTTTCAGTTCCAGTCCTCGTCCTCACCTTCATGAACCCCGACTTCGGTTGTGCTCATTAGTTGCCTGACCGTGCTGCAATTATATAATACTTTACGTAACCTGACTTTGTACCTCTATTTCCCTTTAAGTCTGATTAACCTCGTAACAAGACTTTGGCAATAGGAACGTCAGGGAAAGAATTACCTCCCGGCCTCCAATCAGCCGGACTCTTATTATACTCACTCCAATGCTTTTCCATGTCCTCATACTTCGGTTCACATTCGTGTTTTATTGGCCATTTCAGCTGCTTCTGCAGTTAATCGCGCTATAGCTATATCGCTCATTAGTAGTAGCTTCCCCATGATTATCTCCCTTCTCTATACAGAAGGCCTCTTCCGCTCTTGTTGAACTCAATCAGCATTTGATTTATACTGTGAATTGCTAGTGGTCTTCGTCAACAAGTATAGTCGATCTCTACTATATCAGTATGGTGATGATATTCAACAGCGGTAGGTAATATGTGATGGAATGGCCTGAGATACGGTTATATCTTTTTTAGGTAAAACGCCAACAACATACAGTGTTTGCAAGTATAACTGTACCTCAATGTAATCCATCACTTATTAACTACCACTGTACTTCATGAGGGTTAAGTCTTTACCGTTGAAGAACTTATGCTGATTGCAATAGAACAAAATACAATTCTCACCCTAACAACTCAGACAGATTGACGGTTAAGCTTGAGAATCCATCAAGAAGTAACTTTATGTACTCGTTGATTTCAAATTATGAATATACCGGTAATCTTACGCAATATATTTCTATAGTTTTGGTTATCTTCAATATTTACTCTTTTGTTTGAAATCAGAGTAGTTTTGACAAAACACTTAGTGAATGAAAAATAGGAATCTAGGTAACGGTTTTGGGAGTACGCTTATATGCTACGGTTACCAAAATATACATACAAGAGTTGCCGAACCCAGAATACACAAACGAGGGCTTGTCAAATTAATAACCTGATTAAAGTAGTACTATTCCATAACCCTTGAGTCTCAATAACAACCGACTTTTGAAGGGATTTCAATTAGCAATTCACTTGCGATTAAATAGTGCATAATTCTCAGTCACTGACTTAGTAACGCTTGCAAGTACGCGCTAAGAGTTGCAGCTGTCACGCTACTGATATCAGTGCTAAAATTGGAGTTATTGCTGCCATTTCATCTCTTCCTCCGTTTTCATGGTATGGTGTATCCAGTTTTACAGGTATCCAAAAACGATGGAAAGTCGATGACTAATAACCTTTTGATGAAAAAAGTTAAAAAAAAAAATATTTAAGATGGAAATGTAGTACTAGTTATAAAGTTTAATTCCATTGTCCAAATTTTTTAAAATCTATTTTTGGTTGTGAAAATTCTTAGAGCTTGAAATCAAGCATTTTTTTGTATGTAAAAAGTGCCAAGACTGAGCAAAGTTGAACAGAATTATACCCATTTACACTGCTCAAAAGTAAATTGCGGCAGGAATACGGCAATATGGCTAGAAATAAGTTCTCTCATTAGCATTGAAATTCACCTTTTGATGATCCATTATTTTAATTCGAAATACCACCGCGTCAGTTTTAAGAGTGTGTGCAGCATACAGAAGGATAGAGGCTGTATGGTGTAAACAAACTCTTAAAGTTGCCACGGCGGTATCTGGACGTGGAACAATCGTAGCCGCAAGGTGAATTTCAAATCTAATGAGAGGGCTTATTCCTAGCCACTTTTGCTGCATTTCTGCCGCCATTCACTTTTGGGGGGGAGGGGTATAAATTCCACTTTGCTCAGTTCCCGGCGCTTTTTTTCTACATAGTAAAAAAAAAAATGCGCAATTTCAAGCTTTGCTAATAACTTTTTTACAACTAGAATAGATATCAAAGAATTTTTGCACACTACTACACTAGAACTAAAAAAAACTTTACAACTAGTAGTACTACATTTCGATTTGTGTAGATTTCCTTTTTTTAACAAAAAAAGTTATTAGCCGTCGACTTTCCGTCATTTTCGAATTACCTTTGAGACTGGGCGCACACCATGGTTAATTGTAGTCATAATCTATCACTCGGCTTTGTGTAGAAACTATTGGGATTTGGACTAATCGCTACGGGGGGGGGGAGGGGGTCCGGATGGTGCGGCAGACCACAAAAGAACTGGATCATCATGGTGCTTGTATGATAGACTCTTGTTTATGGATAGAGGGGTTTCCGAAATGCGGCGTGCATGGGCCTCTACATGCCTGGCTGGGCAGGCGTAGCTAGCGGTGGACTTTGTGACAAAGGAGTGAGTGCCTTGGGGATACGGCAGACCAGAGGTTTGGGCCAGCATAAGCTTAGGGTTCGACATTTCTAGTGGCACAGAGGTAAAAGAGTTTAGGATTGTCAAAGAAGAACCACGGCTCACGGGGTTATGGGGTATCCAATATATTTATCAATATGCTAATGAATTTCTAAGAGATATGCAGTAGCCGGTACATAAGCCAGCAAATAAACCTCCTAAATCACTACCTTAAATAAAAGAAACCGCTAAAAGAAAAAAAAAAGCAAAGAGACCGCACCAAACACCAGCCCTACCCAAAACACTCCCCAACCTCAACCTACACATACCTCTCCGCGCCGCTCGGTCCCCCCTTCGCCCCAAACCCGCCCGTCATCATCTCCACCTCCTCCCCGCTCTCCTTCTCCCCGGCCACCACCTCCCTCCTGCACGAGAAAACACCATACCACCCCCACCCGACGAGCGCACACACGATCCCCTCAAAGCTCCCAAACAGCACATCGAACCCATGGTGGCGGTAATCGCTCCACCTTGTCGACGCCACATATGTCGCCAGCAGCATCGGCGTCGCCACGACCGCAAAGCTCAGCATCTGCGGCACCTTCGGGTGCGCCGACGGCGCGGCCGAGGCGGCGGTCCCGGTGGAGGAGGAGAAGTGCGTGATTTTACGGGCGAACGGCATCTGCATGCTGAAGATGAAGGAGGCGAGGAAGAGGGATGTGTATGTCAGGCCAGCAAAACTCACTACCAATCACAAGCACACAGT